GTTTTTGAGGAGTTTGAAATAGAGAATCAAATTAGACCTAAGCCTTTTTTTCCGGAGTGGCTCTAGTCCTAAGATATGGCATCAGGAACTGTAGTCAATGACTGAGTCGTTCTTGAGTATTTTGCGAGTGAAGTCTCGTTGTATTCCTTCCACCGCAAGTATGTCGGATAGGCGTAGGTTGTAAAATAAGAACGAGCAGTATTCGACGATAGGTCTTACACAGACTTTATGAAGAATGATTTTAGTTTCGTTTTGAAAGAAATTACGAAGAATAAAGCCAAACAATCTCCGCATTTGAGATGCTTTAGTTGAGATATGTTCGAAGGACACCAAGACAATATATAATGCTGATTGGAAAAGATCGTGAAAGAAAGAAAGTTAAGTGGCATAAGGGCTTTCTGACTATTCATCAATACTTTGAACATGAAGATGGGTGTTGATTCACGATTGACTATGATCACCACGATAATAAAATTACGTGGCATATACGGACTTGGATGCCTCGATAGGCCGAAAACCAGAAGGTTGTTATTGGTTTAGATAATATATATTTGTTGGCAATCTCGTGGTATCAAATGAATACCCAGACGTGCCGAAGATTTCAGGCGAAACGGTAGAGTGTAAGAGCGTTCGCACGAACAAAACGGACAACGAGACGAAAGTTGTTTTGGGAACAGATAAGCAAACAAGTTCAGTAAAACAATCACTGGTACAACTGGTTATAATAATAATTGTTTCCATTACACTAATTGCGTTCTCTTCTTGAAAGTAGATCACTATAAAACGTCGGATAGTAGCGTATGAACATTTATCTAACTTGTTAAATAAAGTGATTGACAGATACACATGCCTGCTGAAAACCAATTTACACATTACTAACTGATATTATTTCCATTGTACAAAGTTGAATTCATCGGACGTTTTTAACTACATAGCTTCTTACTTATCACTATGGTGTTAAGTTCGCGCAGATTAAATATTCAAGTCATAACGTAAGAACACAATAAGATAAGAACGATTTTTGAGTGAGAATTATTGACTAATTGTTTGGGTAGATCAATACTTTTTAGCTTATCAGGGTTGGAATTCGTCGAAAGCTTATTGACCTGAAAATTTATAAGCCTCTCATCAGAGGATTAACTTAAGTAAATCGAATTTGACGACGATTCCAACTAATCGAGTTGCGTTCGAAAATAAGACCTGAAAAATATAGTTTTATTTATCAAAATTACTTAATCTTACGTTTGTATAGATTTGTGTTATGAAGTGATTTGATGGTTAAATTTTGATGGTCGGGCCATATTCATGAGTTAAAATGTCAATTTGATAATTCTCTCAGATCCCTGAAGACTTTATCGAACCCTATCGAAATCGTAGCAGAGTTCACTGTGGATACAACTCCATCAAAGGTTGAATTGTATAAGTAATCACCCGGCTTTCTATATGTGTCGAAAAGTTGTACTTTATTGCAGTAACTATGTTTGTGATTCTTCAATTATATGTGTCTGTGAGCCTAAGGCTATGGTTATAAAACGCTGCTAATGAGCTATATTTGCAGCTTTCAATGATCGTAGCGTTTATTTTTAAGCGGTATTATAACAAGTATCTTTGTAGTAATTAATCTAATATATTGTTTTGATCTGTTTCATGTTAGCAAGGTATGGCACATTGTGCGTATATAACGAAGCTTATGTCTGACCTTTTTCGAAAAAGAACGGGTAGAGCCATCATAAATTATTTTCCATTTTCTCCACACGTTTACTTCAGGGTAAACAATAGGGATCTGCGTCATCCTAAACCTCTATTTTATCGTTGCTCTGGGTTCCGAACCTTTTGTTTTGAAATGTAACAGAATAACTGATAAATAGATTTTTTGTATGTACATCCATATCCTCATGCTTCAACATAAGTAATTACACTATTAACCAGATATATGTTCAAGTTTCACAGCGGTTACCTGAATCTGTGAGACGTTTTGAAACTGTACAGTTAAAAATGATTTCTCACTTGTTTCTACACACCAGAAAGCATGACGATGGACCATTGGTAAAAGTGATAAGTGTGAATCATGTTATTCTTAGGTTCCTGGTATCTAAAACAAGTTTTAATGATAAGATTGTTATGGAAAAACTATATACGGAAATACGAAAAAATTATATTTTTAGTACCACGTCTTTGTGGTAAGAACTTGACAATACTGAAGCTCAGCAATTAGTACGAATTATTTATTTGAACACATAAACATCGGTACAAGGGGACACCCGATACATATGCGCCACACACAAAATTGTCATTTTTTATAGTTGTGTGAGGGCTATGATACTGCCCGGTTGCCCAGACCGGAGAGGTTAGTTTTCTTAGGTCACACCCCGAGCCTTTAACCACAAGGCAGGGGAGTAACGTCAGGAGATGCAGTCCTATGGTAGCCAGTGACCAACAGTTGATCCATACGCCATTTGTTCCCTCAAGATACTGGAGACCATTGGTTCGGAATCAGGGGTTTCTAACTCCCCTAAGTGAACTTTCCGTGTCCACCAATCCGGTTAAAGCGCCGGACATTCGCTTTTCGTCCTCTCAGTTTCGTAAACAACACCGGTGCCACGAGAAGGCAGTGAGTAGGACTTCCCTGGCAGAGGCTGTATACACGTGGCCATGTGAGAGCATTTCGAGAGGGAGAGCGGACTCTCCCAACTCTCGACCGTACCAGGGCATTTAGGAGCAGTACGAATATACTTTGTAGCTGACTAAAATATTGTAGCTATTTATTGGACTAGCATTTCGTCGACTCAATGCTATACAATGATCTCCTAGCTTACCCCGCCTTCGTACGATAACTATGCTTTATTGTTTTTTGCGTACAGGTAGAACAAAGCCTTATGAGTTTATTTAAATGAAAATAGAAAGAATTGACAGACAGGATTCACCAGGTTATTGCATATGCTAATCTCACACAAATAATTAGGCATTGAGCATTGTTGATATTATTGATTTGTGATAAACAACTTAATGCTCAGTTGCCACTCTTCTCAAGTAGGAATATATTCAGCGTTGCAGTTAGTTTGGGCCGGTTTGTTTAGTGTCCAAGTATTTATAGCAATCCGCTAAGAAGATACGTAATTGTTGTCGATGCATTCAAGATGAAATTGGATTTTCACAGTTCTACAAATCACCGGGCTTACTATAGCCAACATTAACTTCTTAACTTCCGGGAACTAAATTATTCTTGCTATTCTCAGAACTACTGATATATTATTAGCAATAAGTGCAATGCTGATACGTGTTATGATTATAAACTTATGACTGAATCTTAAAACTGTCTTGACTTCTAAAGAAAGGGCAGTAAAGTACATTTTATGCACCGATTATTAAAATGATTTATATTGACTAAGAAACTGAATAATTGCATTATTTAGATGAGAAAATGACGTCTGCCACATATTATAGGAATTGATATACTCAGAGTTATCATTTCAAAAGGCATTTAGAGCTATGTAAATTTTACAAAAATAAGTTCCTCTTCTTCAAATAGTCTTATTCTTCATTGGAAAGGCTGAAATCGTTTGTTTTTTGTATGCATTTATATCTTTGTCGTTATTCATGTAGTCACACAAGACCATCAATCACAATATAACATCACGACTTAAGTATACAATCAGACTTGACGGAAGTATCAGCTTTACCAATTTTCCCAGTATCCTTTACGGTATAGATCTAATTGGTTGCGTAGTTGGTGGTTTCGATTACACTTTCGAAATACTTGGAGAATAGTAATTCAGTCTCATAGGAAATTAAAACTTATGACCCGTAAATCCCTGAGCGACGCTCATGAAAACTTATATCTCGGTTTCTTTAAGTATACCTAATACAGCTAATACATGATTTTACCTTCAGTATTACTGTTTAGACTTTACTGTGAACGAAGATCCATTCTCTTCTAGCAGATCAATCTGGCATTTTAAGGACGTTAGAATACTGAGTTAATGATGGAATTTTTCAATGCATTTTATAGAGTCCATTCAAATTTAATTTCTGGCGAAAATGCATTTTAACACATTGTAAATCTAGATTCATTTTAGTGCATAATTTTGAAGTTTATATAAACACAAATTTTAGACCAACAATAACTTGAACTAAGTTGTGGACAGTCATAATGTTTAAGCTGTTAACTTAGTCCATCGGAAATAAAAACAAACTTTAAAATATATGTTTTCATTCTAATCTAGGTTACAAGAACACATCCTTTTTAATATCGAAGCAACAAAAAACAGACTAGACCAAAAGTTGGGCAACTAGGCGATAAATTTTAGCCTTCTAGGGCTACTATTTATTTCTAAAAACCATAGCGGTCAACAGATGCCCAGAATATTTAAGAAGTGAGGTGTGTAGCATTCCCATGTGAAACAAAACCATTAAGTTTAATAACATCAAATCTAACTAAACATCAGACCAAGATTATATTAGTAGATACAAAGTTTATTTATGACCGTTGTTATCTTAGATCTTCCTAAATTTCGTCGCTGATCGGATGTACAATGGAAAACGAACACGTAATCACCATTTCGTATTATACCTGTCATAACCAGTCTAGTGATATTGTTTTCCAAGGCCATACGGATTCAATAACAAGTCTAAGTTACAACGACCAACTTGAACATGTCATCTCAGTGAGTTGCGACCACACACTGCGCGTCTGGTCTCTCAAAACGAGGGAACAAATAGGTATCACATCAAAACATGCTACACAGCTCAACAGCGTAAACATAGACAGCGATGGGTTGAAGTAAAATTACGTTTATGTTAATTAATCTGCTACAGTATTATATCCAGTGGGATGGATTTTAGAACCTGCTTGTTTGATTATGAAACTTTAAAACTCAAGGTATAAGTAGACTTTTCACTACGTAACCTAGTTTTTTCTACTGAACGGAGGTGCAGTCACTGATCATTCAATCAACAAGGATGGTAATTCTTTGGTATGTGTTACTGATATTAGCTGCCAAATGAACTTATGGGATTTAAGATGTCAAAAGAAAGTTTTTTCGATTCCAGGTGAAATCATTTACATCTTATAAGATTAATTTGACCTTTAAGACATTCACCAAAAAACACCAACATGTTGTCTGTTTACTCCGAATGGAAATTGTATAATTACAACATCAACAGATGGATCCACAAAATGCACAGACTTGCGATCCCTCAGAACATTACTGACCTTGCGGTTTGATTCGTGGAATTCACAAATAATTTTTAGTGATCATAGGAATGCTGTATCGTCAGCAGCCATCGCTAGAGACGGAAAGTTGCTGGTAACAACATCATGGGACAAAACGGTTCACCTATACGACATTGAGACTGGAAACTACAGGAGAGAGGGACCGCAGATTTTAGCTGATGGTCACACTGGTTCGATAAGTAGCTGTGACATAGACGACAATGGTGAGGACCAAGTTTCACTCTTAATATTACTTAGGGATCTACCTAGCGACTGGGGGTCACGACAAGTGTGTTATATTATGGGATACTGAGAAGAGAGAAGTCAAGTTGTGTCTTAAGGTACTACCATGTACTATTTATAGAGTATTTTAAACAGAGGCATACAGATTGGATTAATGACGTACACATGACAAAAGATGGGAAATGGATTCTAACAGCATCGAAAGTAGATCCTATTGTGAATACCAACGTTTTAGGATAGACTGATAAGGGCATGGAATATGGAAGTGATTGAAAGGTTGCCATTCAGTTACTTACCTGGCAATGAGCAAACTGTTCTTACTTTAAAGGTAAGTATAGTAAGATTACAATTGTAACGACGGTTTGTCAGTTTTATTAATGAGTGGCCTTTTTGGAAGTAATTTGACTGAGATACATTTTTATTACACGATGTCTAGGAAATTCTGAGTCCCTATTTTCAAAAATCGCGACACAAGTAATGTGTACACACTGTCTCAATTCCAGTATATTTACGAGCGAAGAAATTACAAAGTGGATAGCTGACGCTGAGCAAGGTGCGAAGGCTTGTGACAGACTTATAATATCCATCAAAAACCATTGTGCTTTAAAGAAAAACGTCAGTAAACTTGTTAAGGATCCTATCACAGAACTAAAACTCATAAATCTAGAACTGACAGTTGAGCCACATAGGTTTTGATTGCAGATCTTAGTTTCGTTGTCGGGTTGTCTTTAGTGTATTCTGGTTCATATGAACGATAGCACCCAACAAGAAAAAATCAGGATAAAGACATCACGAAAAAACCACTCAATATCGAGTTGTCGCAACGCAAATAGAGAAAAATTTCTGCAAAAGTTTAGTTTTTAGGAAACCATCCTAACTGGATGATCTGACGTGGTGCTCGAAGTTATAATATCAAAGATTCGGGAAACATCAAGTTATCATTACAGGGTGCAAACGCTATAACCTCGAGTTGTGACAACACTTACAGTCCTTTCCATTAGAACGGAACTTCTTAATCACTACCACATGTAGCAAAAATCAATAACCACCACTTAGAATTGATTCTTACGTCTGATAAAAAGAGTTGTTCGCGAACTGATAATTTGGTGCTTCCTAGAACCATTGATCTCCAGAGTTGTCTCTTCATAATACTTTTTACAGAAATAGAAAGTAACAAACTCTTAAGTTTTGGCATGAAGACTTTCTGAATAAATACACTAACTCAGTATTGAACTTGACAGATAAACTACTGTTAGTACAGTGTGTTCTGAAGACCATCTAATGTCACTGCTTTATCTGAATTTCTGACCCAAACTTAGCCCTTAATGAAGTCTCCGGAAAATACCAGAAATACTTGGCGACAAGTAGATGTATGATTTGCATCTATTTTTACTATACAGTGAAATACATATCGACAAACAGCAAACATTGCACAATTATTTGGTTCTAGCCTTTGTAAGGGAATAAAGTTTGAATGACAGGTCACTTTTATATTTAGGGAAAAAACTACGTTAAATCGAGACTAGGGCTACTATGAATTATTTGACCACTAAAGCGCATTATCTTCTCTTGTACACACATGACTGATGAGATGGATGATAAAGCAACAGGTCGTATGAATCCAAGTTGTTTATTAGTTATTGTAAACCGCAAGACAAAATATCAACTTATAAGGGTAACATTTCTACATTGAGATCACTTTAAAATTGTACGGATAAAGCAGTGCGAATTACAGTTTTATTCGTGAGGACCTCAGTAGTATAAAAAAAAACTAAATCATTACACTTCTTTATTTCAGTGCCCGAACTGTGAGAAAAACTTCATCCAGACAACAACAAGTGACTGGAGAAGGAGACCTAAGTGCTTATTTTGTGACCTCGATGCAAAAACAAACAATTAAAAGATATGCGACCGACTACGATGATATAAGTGCAATGAAAAGTTAACGATAAAATCACAATAAAAGACTTCATGTGAAAGTACTTTTATATTTGTTTTTTTTTCAAATCTTATAAAGCAAGCAGTCAAATAATATATGTACAAAAATGTTCGAGCCCACACTGAGTAGAAACGTTCAAAAAGTACGGGTTGGGCTTTCGATATGTGAGTATTGTTAATCAGGTGAAAAGTGGTCCACCAGTTAAAAGTACCAAAAACCATTTGGACTAGATGGGTAGTTATGTCCGGTACACAAACAAGTGACTGCATTATTGTCGAGATACCAGACCGAGCTGAACGTAATTTAGTTACGAACGACGGAAAATCATACTACTGACAAGTGAAATAAATGCTGCATGGTATCTGCATCAGTGTTAAACCAAAGGAAATTTAGATACATCAAAATTCGTCACACATTGAAAGAAACAAGTAGAACAGGTCAGTTTATCTCATAGAAAGGCACCATAAGTAAAGATTTGTCAACGGGATTACACATATCACCAAGGCTCGGGCATTGTAGTTAGTTCACTCAACTCCTGATCCGAACAAGAAGGGAAGAAATGACGCCTATAACCAATCATATCAACCCAAGGGAGTATATGTAAATACTGATCATCTAGGATAATTGAGTGTAAATTAGTGGGAGAAATACAAGCATATTCACTTTCTGCACCTACTGTACACTTCTGGGGAGAGTTATATTCTGCAATTTCCATAGAACTGTTATCACACACAGTTACATAACTGTGGTCAAGGCTATGCCAATCAATGTCTTCCGGCAAACATGGTAGGTCGGGCCAATCATTCATAAAATTAGTCACAGGGGGGAGAACCGTTTTGTTCCTACGATGGCCTTTTAGTTGGTTGGAATGTAGTCGGGAAGGATCTAATATTTCAGCTTCATCTTTGTGATGTTTGTGCTTCTTTTTCTTTTTAACTTTCTGGGCATTTGACACAGTGTTGTTCTCAACATCTTTGAGTACTAGTCGATCGGATATATTTTCACTATTGTAGCTTAGAGGACCTTGATTATTGATAGATGAAACGTTAACACAAGGTATAACCTTTTTAACCGAATCAGAAGTTAGGTTGCGACCTTTTTCGTATACAGCAGGATTTTCTCTACACTCCAAGTATGTTTCCGACTTTATATCTAAGATTGAGTTACATTTAGGAGAATGCGAGTTTTCATTGTTATTGGCAGAGACACTACGTGAACTTGACTGAGAACAAGAGTTTGTACGAGCCAGACGTGTTTTTGTGGGTTGCATTATAGAACATACACGAGGAGGGTCGACTTCCTTGCTGATCCTGTTTGTAAGAATGCGGTCAGCAGTTACGGAATCAATACAATCTCCTGCAGCTTGGACCAGTTCTGCGGTTGATTTGACTTTCGACAAACGCATGGAATTCGCTACTCGGAGCTTCGATGAAGGAGATCGAGATGCCATTGAAATACTTGTTTGAGACACTGATGTATCTAAATTCCCCTTAAACCTGGTATCCTGAGGTTGTGATTCCATACATTTACTACCATTCACAAGGTTACTCGGACTATTGACCTGAACGACTGCTGAAGTTGTGTCTGTGAACTTCAAACGTTTAGAAATATTTGAAACAGAGTTATCGTTTTGGTGTGTTTGATACACGGAGGGTTTTTGTGAATCCTCTTTGTTGAGTTTTTCTGGGGAAGAATCTGGGAAATTTCGCTTTGTGAGATGTTCGGAGCATTTCATCTGAGAAGGGTATATTGCATTTACAGCGTCTGCTGGTTGCTTAGATTTTTCACGAGCAGGTATTTTAGTTGGTGTGCCATTCGATTTAGGTGACGTAGGTATATTTTTGTCCGATGTCTTTAAAGGAATGACATACTGATGTGAATACTCAGAGGATAGTAGTTTCTGCCATGCTTTGATAATAAGCCTAATGCGTTTTTGAAGAGGTGGATCAACCTTGTGACGAATGGTTTGTAACAGCTGACCAATCCTAGTATCCTGTAACTGAATCATAGTCATTGGGAAGTTCTCCAGATGACCGATGACGTCACATACTGCGTTCACATCTGTTACCTACAGAGTAGAATGAATGAGAAGTTACCAAAGTTAAGAAAGTGGGTTTTTGAAATAAAATAGCAGAGGGATAATTTAGATTTAAATAGGTACTTAAGTTGTGGCAGTAATTTCGAAATAATAAGTCAGGAAGCGCGGAAACTGGAACATACTACATCACCCTAAGTTTCCACAACATCACAGTGAAATGAAATTACCAAAGTAGAAGTATGAGCTGAAGTAAAAAGGACAAGATGCAAGGAAAATGGTTTGAGGAGAGAAAACAGATCTACAGGGTAAAAAATATCAAATAATTTGAAACTTAAAATCAACTGACTGCACATTTAATGACTTCATAGTCATGCTGTTAGTGAAGTTGGAGGGGCTATGTTGCGGCCCACTCTAATGCCTAAATCTACTTAATGTGTACAGAACGTTTACAAACGACAATCCTAAACAAATGACTAGTAGTGCAGATATGTACAGAACAGCCGCTGCTTCTCAAATACCTCTCTGCAGTTGATTGTGTTTAGGGAACCTAAACCAAATGACTAGGAAAATCCAACTAGATCAGCGTCCGCTCGTAAACTCATTTAGGTAGGCTGAGAGGACGATAAACAGCGATGACAATCTTAATGTAGAACAAAAAAGGTTTACGCAATGGTCACGAGTAATGGTGGGCAACGGAAGTAACGATATGCAACACCAGACAACTATTTTGATTCATCAAAGAAATAGGAATGTGACCCTTTTTAAGTCCAAGAGATCAAAATGATATGTGGAGGACTTTCAGAAACAGTTTAATAGGTACCTACGACTTTCAAATTACGAAAGTGGAAATCTAAAAAGTTTCCCAAATCTTAAAGAAATTAAAACAGTCTTATCTAACTCCAACCGATAGGAATCAACGGAACTTGGTAGTTTAAATACACGTCTTTAATGATAATGATATAATTTTATAAATTAATCAGACGGAGATACTAGCTAGAAATACCCTTACGATAACAACAGAACACATTGTACTGTTATAACGTCTCAGTCAGTCAGTAAGCTAAAACGTAGGACCAGGAACATTTATGCATCGGTCCAAGTTGTCATACCTCATTAGCACAACAAGATGAAAACACTGAATTCATGGAAATAGTTAGTTTAATAGTGGTAATATATAAAAGAAAGATTGTATAAAAGAATACAGTACAGGAAGGAAGAAAAATATGGAGCAATTGTAATCTTTTAGTTTAAGGGAAGACAGAAAGTGTATACACCTACGCCGTTGTGATCGATTCTGAACCACGTCACACAGACTCTCCAACCATTGGTTACGATAGTTAAGCAGACTCCAACCAATTAGTCTGCATCTACCAACATAGCTCAGACTAGCAGTTAGTGGCTTTAAGCACTGATGACACATCTTTGTTTGGTCGCCCCCAAGCTCTCTTCCAACCATCCCCTATACGCCCCCGAATGCCCTGGTACGGCCGAGAGTTGGGAGAGTCCGCTCTCCCTCTCAAAATGCTCTCACATGGCCACGTGTATACAGCCTCTGCCAGGGAAGTCCTACTCACTGCCTTCTCGTGGCACCGGTGTTGTTTACGAAACTGAGAGGACGAAAAGCGAATGTCCGGCGCTTTAACCGGATTGGTGGACACGGAAAGTTCACTTAGGGGAGTTAGAAACCCCTGATTCCAAACCAGTGGTCCACATGGGCTCCAGTATCTTGAGGGAACAAATGGCGTGTAAATCAATCGTTGGTCACCGGCTATCATGGGACCGCATCTCCTCACGATGCTCCACTACCTTGTGGATCGGATCTTTAGGCCAAAGGCTCGGAGTGTGGCCCCCTAAGAAAACCACCTGCTTCAGTATGAGCACCTGAGCAGTATCACAGCCTTCACACAAATCAAATGAAATGTGTGCGGCGCATATGTATCTGGTGCTTCCTTGTACCAATATTTATATGTTTAAATAAAATAATAAATAATCTCCTATAGTAGTCAGCATTGCGCGTCGTGGTAATCGGCGTTCAGGCATACGTAACACGTGACCCAACCATCTCAGTCGGTGAAGGTTCACAACCTCATCAACTGATTTACCATCATTCCCTAATACCCTGCGTCTAACCTCACTATTACTTACCCGGTGATCCCAGCAGATGCGAGCAATATTTCTAAGGCATCTGTGTTCAAATACTAGTAACTTACGAGTATCTTCTATTCTTAGTGGCCACATTTCGCAGTCGTAGAGTAGAACAGAGCAAACTGCTGTGCAGTATACTCGTCCCTTAATTGATAGACATATATCTCATCTTCGTCATAAGTGACATAAGTTGGCAAAAGCCAAACGAGCTTTTTAAATCCGTGCAGAGATTTCGTCAGACACAACCCATTAGGACTGATCAGACTTCCAAGATAAGTGAAGTTGTCGGCGCGTTCGACTACTTCACTCCCTATTCTTAGTTCAGGTGTTGACACAGACCAGTCCTGGAGTAACAATTTACATTTAGAGGGGGAGAAACGTATTCCGAACATTTTTGCATTGCTACTCAGTGCCCCCAAATGCTAGCTAGAAATACCCTTACGATAACAACAGAACACATTGTACTGTTATAACGTCTCAGTCAGTCAGTAAGCTAAAACGTAGGACCAGGAACATTTATGCATCGGTCCAAGTTGTCATACCTCATTAGCACAACAAGATGAAAACACTGAATTCATGGAAATAGTTAGTTTAATAGTGGTAATATATAAAAGAAAGATTGTATAAAAGAATACAGTACAGGAAGGAAGAAAAATATGGAGCAATTGTAATCTTTTAGTTTAAGGGAAGACAGAAAGTGTATACACCTACGCCGTTGTGATCGATTCTGAACCACGTCACACAGACTCTCCAACCATTGGTTACGATAGTTAAGCAG